TGGTCCAAGGAAGAAAAAGCTTCCCAGCTTTCAGAAGGGAGATGGTAGGAAGGAGCCAACTGAATAAAGACATACGGAGATCAACACCTCCAACCTAGAAAGAGGTGTGGTGAGCCTCCAAGGCTGAGTCCCCACCCTGCTCCCAGCTCTCCCCAGCCATGCTGCCTCCCCCTGCTCAGCAGGCATTCCAGCACCAGAAAGCAAAGCTTGCTTCTCTACACAGCTGGCTTTCCTTAGCTCCAACTTTTCCACTTACTGCAAAGATGAAGGCATAAGATCTCACTCTTCTTCTTCCCTCTTTCCAAAAGAGTTTTGGTGCAAAGCCTCTCAACGGCAGACCTGCTGGGGAGTCCTCCTGCTTCTTGAGCAACCAGCCTGCCAAAGCCTGCTTAGCCCCTTTTGTCTCCCACTCCACTCTAGTTTATTGCCTTCAGGTTTGAGATTCTTGGCAGGTGCAGCCTGACAATGCCAGCTGCAAAATCGTGTTTGCAGACCAGCCCATTAGCTCTTTCCATCCTTCATCTGCTTTGGCACCTACTGAGGGACTCACAAACTGCTCCCAGAGATGGAGGTATGGCCTATTGCCATATATCCATTCCCTCTGATGGCTTACAAGCCCATTTTATGTTTCTCACATGGTTTAAATTCTCATTTACATGAAGAGATGTTTTTGGCACACAAGCGTGCCAGCCTCAGGTTTCTCTTTGGTGTCTGAACAATCTTCATTAATCAAATGGACATCCACAGAGTTTTCCGTTTGGCGTTCCTGCCATCCTGTCGAATTTCTAGGAGACCTCTTACTAGTCCCACGACCAGATTCAGTAGTTTATTCTGTTTGAACAAGAGGCTAAGGGCAATATCTGATGGCAAACAGCTGTGGGGATCCCAGCTGCTTCTGAACACCAGGAATGTGAGGTCCCCTTTCTCCTTATCTGCCAAAGGGTTAAAAAACACAACATAGCCAGAGTATTTTAAACAAACATCAATCCTTGAAACATGAGAGGAAAGAAGAAAAGAAAGAAAAAGCAGTACGTTACTAAGCTTTCTGACTACGTGCGACTTTGGTTTTCTCCATTGCCAACACTTCTGTTGCTGCCAGTAAGGAGCTACGAGATCATGGCCAAATTTAGGCTGCAGTGGTATGCACACGCACAGAGCTTTCATCAAATGTTAGAAACAAGGCTTTGCAATTAGTTTTGTTACCTTTGACTTTCCAGGTCCGTTTAACACCAGTGCCTAAAATAACCTCACCGACAGCTTGATTTTGCAGGAAAGGATCTAGGGCAACGACAGCAATTCAGCTCTTGAGGCAGCTTGGATTCAGTATGCTTTTCATGGGATCTGCCCCATTTTTCCAACTGCTCAGGTATCACACAGGCCAGCGATCAATTACCTTTAAGTAGCTTTCTGAATAGTACTTGGCAAGTAAGGGGCAAATAGCATCACTAGAAAAATGAGAGTACTTGGCAATATTGTCATTTTCTTTACTGGCTATGCCCTATCTAACGAGTGGCTGTGCCTGTTGGAAGTTAAGTTAGCCTCCGCTTGGCCTGTTCCCTTTGGTACTAATACCTGGAGAGTTTAGTACAGCTCCATGGGACTACAGAAGAACTCTCGCCTACAAAATTTTCGCTAGCCTTCAGCACCTGCAGCATCTAGATGGATGGAAAATTGTGCTACAAGCAGTGGGTTTCTTTTCAGGCCAGTGTTCTCTGTGAAAGTAAAACAATAATGCTAAAAAAAAAGTAATAATCAAATACAGGATAAAGCATAGAAAGCTTTTGTTGAAAGAGCTTTCCTTACCATGTGTTGGCAAGAAGATCTTGGTAACTTCAGTATCTGCTAGGAAAATCTGTGGTTACCCTTTGCGCTATCTATAACAAGCCAGTCAAGCAAAAATATTAACATTAGTTATTTTTACTTCTTCTACAGTTGTTTGTCTATTCCCACATTCACAGGGTGCTAAGCAAAAAAGTCTGGCCATAGACTGGCCACAAAGTGGGGCACCTAGGAATTACTTGACTGGACTTGCAAGTTACAGTTCCTGGGCAAAATATTTCTGCTTGTATGGAAATTGGGGTATTTAAAGAAATCTCAAGGGCTTTGTCCAAGTACAGAGTTCATCATACGCATTGTAACTTACAGCCTCACGGCATAAGGTGTAAAACTGTGGTTTCTTTTGGCCTCTGGGACATCTACATTAACAGGAGTTATATTTTGGTATGCTTGTGCTGGCAGGACCCACTTTATGCTCAGCAGCGTAAAATGTGAAATCCCTGCCCCCGAGGTGTCAGTCTGCCATCAGATCAGCAACAGGCACCCTGAGCCCATGTGGCCGCTCTGCCCCTTCTGCCACCGTGCCAGCGGGACTCCCCACAGCCCTGCCTCAATGGATCAGGATGATGGGATCACAGGGGAGAGGGAGAAGTTTCCAAAGCTTACATGCTGTAATGGCCCTCTTGTTAGCTTGGTTGTTTGCCATACTGCATGACAGCTGGCATCTCAGTCCAGTAATTACACTGATGTAGCACTGCCTTGCTGAGGTTCGGCAAGAGAGCAGCCACCCAAAAAGGCACTGCACAGACGCGTTTGATTAACCCTGATGTTCAGATAGCAGACTGGTGATTTCCCAGCCAGGATTTTCCTGCAAGAGAAGACCTACTTATTAGTGAAAAAAAAAAAAATCTATGGGATGATGCAGAAAGAAAAAAAAAATAATACTCCTCTGTTATGTCTTGTGGCTTGTTTGTTCTTCTCTGGTTGAAGGTAGCTGTATACAGCGCAGAAGGTTGGAGACCTTCAGCTGCCTTAGCTTCTTGGCAAGGTTGAGTCACCCCCAGGGAACACCATACTATGTAATTGTAATGCACCCAGGACCCCGGCAAGGTTAACTCAGAGCTCCTCCTGGTTTTGGTGTGGAGCAATGCCCAGCACAGCTTGGTCTCTTGTGAGCAGTCCAGCCCTGGGCGATGCAGGACTCACCCTGGGTGAACTTACCCAGACAGGTACATTAGCTTATGCTGAGTTTAAAACCGGTGAGTTGCTTCTAGGGCACCTGGTATCTCTCTGGTGTCTCTGCGCTGCACGGCAACATGAATGATCCTTCAGGAGTTGATCAGCCCCTTGGCAGAGGAACCAACTGGGCGTCAGCCTGATGCACAACTGTGCCATCACAGTCGGAAAGCATCCCCAGAAAAAAAACCTTGACAGTGAGCTCCAATAATTTATACCTCTGCTGACCAGCTCCTCCTGCTCACATACCAGATTTAACAGACCAGTAATTGCTGCCTGATTTCTAATTACTCTCGCTTATAGGAGCAATGAAACAAGTCAATTCTACAAACACAGCTTTGATGCAAAAATTGTACCAGTAATCTCAGAAGCTCAGCATCTTTTTGTATGTTGGTACTGAGTACCTTACTAAAGTATATCGATGTGACCTAAATATGTATAACACAGGTAGCGGTACTTGAGGTGGAAGGATTGAAAGCAAAAGAGATTTCTTGGTGCATTTTTATACCAATAAATGTTGACCCAGCAGCTAACGAGGCAAAAATGTGTTTCTCTGAGATCTAACCACAGCACAAAAAGCTGAGCTCAGATACCTTTCCTCCTCATCCACCTGACAGTGACCTGTCAAACCCAAACCTCTCATTCATGTCTGTCTTTAGAGCTTTTTGCAGCAGTGCCAGGCCATGCTGCAAGCTGCGGGTCGGGAGCGCGGAGATGCACAGCAATGATCTCAACAGAAGGTTAGCCTGGAGCGTACAGGAGGGGGAGTGTTTGCCACAATAGCTGCTCCGTCCCCGCTTTCACCAGGGCTTTCTTCCCTGTCTCCTTCGAGGCGCTGCTCAAGCCCTTCAGTCCCGGGGATGCTCCTGCAGCATCTAACTGCGCAGTGCTTTTTCTGGGCTTAGAGTAGGGCTTACTGCGTCTGAAACTGTCCACCTCAGCCAAGCTTGCTGAAAAGCTCCCAAAGCAACAAGCTGCCTCGAGCAGATGGAGAGTTACCAGCAATGCAGGACTCCACAACATTGCTTCTTACCATCACAACACGTTTGTAGCTACCTCTTTGGTTTTTCCACTGCAGTTTGGACAATACCTCTTCTGGTTATGTTATTATAGGGAGCTTCAAAGAGGTTTCCCATAAATGAGGATTTTACCTGTAGGCTTTGGGAACATGCCTATAATGTGAACTCCCATTACTGTTTTAAAAAACACACCAAGCATCAGCCAAGCCCCCATAGCTAGCTACACACACATCTTTCTATCTGTCAGAGCATGTGAAGACAGCATTTTCCAGAGGTGTTCTGGTAGTAAGCAAGGAAGGGTTGCCTGGTCTAAGCGTTTTCTCATGTAAAAATGCCCACATTGATTCAGTTATATTTAGCCACCTCAAAGGTCTCAGCTCCTGCAAAAAGTCCAGCTCAGGCCTCTGCTGCAGTCACTGTGGTTATGACTCATGGGCTAAAGAGAAGTGCCAGGAAATCATGTGTGTCCAGCGAAATGGCTTTCTGTATCTGGCCTGATTGCTAGGTGGGATTTTTTTGTGTTTAAGTAACAGCAGTTTCTGAATGGGAAGTTCTGGAAATTACTTCTTTCTGGTCCACTTCAGAAATAAGAAACCTGGGGGCATTTATTCGATGTCCCAACCAGAACAGGAGCATTGGCTGAGTCATGTCCTGCACCTCTGCATGCATGTGGGACTCTCTGCGCTTGACCTCCAGGCGGACATCAGCCCCAGGCAAAGTCCTTGCTGTCAAATGAGGCCTCCACTCTCTTCAGAGGAGATAAGGATGGACTGAGGGCATTCCTCAGTGGCCAGCATAGAACCATAGAATACTTTGGGTTGGAAGGGACCTTTAAAGGCCATCTAGTCCAACCCCCTGCAGTGAGCAGGGACACTTTTAGCTGGAATGTTTCCAGGCAGGGTAGCCCCTGCGCAGGAGCAAATCCTCCATCATACAATGTACATGCCAGTTGCCTGGCTTTTTGACAGCATGCCTGCTGGTACGTGCCTGGAAACTGTGCTTCCACAGCATGTTGAATTTCCATACTGGCCTGTAGAAATAGCATCTAAGGTGAGAAAGTGGTTTGGTTTTGACCTGTGGCATCTACAGCAGATAAAACTCGACATGATGATTACATGACTTGCCCTTAGGAGTCAGTGCAAAGCACCCCCGTAGCACATATAGACCTATGTTTGGAGTTTTTAATTAATTTAATTTTATCAAGTGACTTCAGAACATTGACAAGATGGACTCACAATGAAAATTTTTTTCGGCCTTTGATCGAATCTCATTCCTCTTTAGAACTGATTTGCAGAATGAAACATATATTCAAAAATTAAAAATAGCATTTGGGTTGGTATTTAGGAAAATGGATGTTTTGTGGTCCTAGGCTCCTTTATACAGCTGGAAAGGAAATGTGGGCTCCACAGGGAGGACAGGATCCTCAAGCAGCTTAAAAAACAGCACAAACCAGAAACAACTGTTTTCGAGAGCCAAGGACCCAGAGGAAGGAGCCGACACTGGCTGGGGACACAGCCTGCAATGGGAGGGACGCTTTGCTCTGGAGTGGATGTTGCGACCCAGCCCAGCTGCTCTCTGCTTCTGCCCTGTGCTTAATTTGACTGTCACCTTGTGGCTACTAAAACTGACTAAAAGCATTTAAAATCTAAATTACAGAAGCTCTCCGAAGGATCTCTGGTCTCGCTTCTTCTCTGTAAGACTCCAAAATATCATTTTGAGAAAAATAGAGGGAGAGCAATTCCAAGTTCAAGAAACTGAAAAGCTGTTTCTTCTGAAAGATGCATTTAAAGTTCCCTGTCCACAGCACACGAAGTCAGAAAGCCTACCTACTCAAATAGCTCCCTGCACCATCATAATAAAAGAAGTAAGTATTTACAGCCAGCCAAGGTGGTGTGCAGTTAAGGACAGTAGGAATCACCCCTTTGTGCTACTCTGTGCAGTCTGATTTTAATATAACTAATACCCTGCATAAAACTTGTATAGGTCCCCAAATGGATTCCTCGTGTCAGAAAGATGGCATTTGAACTCTCATCATCCAAAAAGCCCTATTTTAAAAACTCAAGTGAAGAGGTGGAAAAGGTAAAAACTCAAAAACATCCACCTGTGCAAGTCCTCCCCTGACGTGTGCGTGGGCATGCCTGGGACACCCATGAGCGGAGGGGACCCACCAGACACCCTTGTCATCTCACAAAGGTGCTACCACACAACATTCCACCCCATCACCATACCTGGGTGAGCCCTGGAGCCCAGAGGCACCCATGGGACCATAGAGGAGACAAAGGTCAACAGCTGCCACACACCATATATTAAAGCTTTCAAATCCTGGAGCAAAACACCAGCTTTGATTAAGCCCGTCAGGGTTGCACATCCTGCCAAAAAAACAATGCAGGATAGAAGCTACTTTGTGAGCTGGGCTACTGGCTGGGTCACACATTAAGGGAGGGCAGCTTCTTCCAGGTGAAAGCGGCCACCTCCAACAAATACAAGGGCCCCTTAGCCATCAAGGTGGTGGACTGGCAACAAACACCCCCAGCCTTTGTGTACAAGTTTCTGCCCTGGGAGCTCTCCATCACGCATGAGATCCAGCACCTCAACATCGTGCACATCTTTGAGTTCATCGAGGACTGCAATGGGAAACTCCATATCGTGATGGAGGCAGCAGCCACTAACCTGCTGGAGCTGGTGCAGCAGCTGGGGAAGCTGCCCTGCGTCCCCAAGGCCTGGGATATCTTTGCACAGGTCCTGGGGGCTGTGCACTACCTGCATGACCACAACTTGGTGCACCAGGATCTCAAGTGTGACAACATGCTGCTCACCATTGATGGCCACCGGGCCAAGCTTACTGACTTTGGTTTTAGCAAGGAGGCCAACAGCTACCCCATCCTGAGCACCACATTCTGTGGGTCAGCAGCCTACGCTTCCCCAGAGGTGCTGATGGGCAACCCCCACGACACCAAGAAGTACAACATGTGGAGCCTGGGGGTGATTCTTTACGTGATGATGACTGACTACCAGCCCTTTGGCGATATCCACATCTGCAGCATGCCCCAGTGGCAGAAGAAAGGGGTGCTTTACCTGGAGGGGCTGCCCCCACTGCCAGAGCCTTGCCAATCCCTCATTGCCCAACTGGTCCAGTTCAGCCTGGCCTTGTGACTCAGTGTGGAGCAGATGGCCAAGAACAGCTGGCTGAAGGGAGACATCTGAATGAGGAAGCCCTCCCCAGAGATTCTGGGAGAGCAGTAACACTTTAGCATAATCAGTGCTGTAGTGGAAAAGCATTTCTGTGGTTTATTGATCATTTTGGTTCCTGGAGTGCTGTACGTGGAGCTGATTGAACTTCAAGCATCAACAAGACCATGGGCTCTCAGAAGGTGGTCAGATCCCTCCACAAAAGGAGACACATGAGCCTGCTGTGGGTTGAGTTTCAAGACACAATGACCATGTTGAGCTAGCAGTAAGAGGAAAGCATAGGGCTGCGTACACCAGCAGTGGCTGCCTGACTGCAGGAGGGACCTGCACCCTGCCATCAGGCAGGTTGGGGCTTTCCCATGGAGCCAGCATAGCCAGGGCAGGGTGGCAAGGTGCAGCGTGCAGCAGCACAGTGCTTTATGTTGCCTGCTCCGTAGTACATGTAAAGAACACTGAAACTCTTGCACAGCTGCCCCTCTCTGCTGCTCCCCACCCTCTGCCACTGTATGCATAGGGCACTGCCCAGAACTGCAGGAGGAAAGCTGTTCTCGTGCGGGTCTTGGCTTGTCCTCAACCTTGTTTGCCACCAAACTATATTTGAGCTGGTGGGAGGGGAGAGGTAGTGGTCCTGCAAATCACTACTGCAGAGAAAATTCCACATTTTTTTCTATACCACTGTTTAGATCTCACAGTGACATTCACAGCCCAAATTCACAGCAAGATCTTTGCAGGCAACTGGACAGAATTACTGAGCAAAAGTTTTGGTGTGGGTTTGAAATCCACACCTTACATTCAACTACATCTTTCATATATTGATTCTTGACCACATTTGAAATCTCCACCAAAAGAAATGCGACTGGCCATAGAGAACCTGTAACGGGAAAGAGATAAAGATTCAAAGAACTGCTTTGCTAACACCTCCTGTCCATCTTCAACGTAGAAATTTACCAATTACTCCCAAAATCTACTACAGATCCCTACTGGCAAGTCACATTTTCAAAGGGTTAATTAAAGATAGGAGCTAGCATCTAAATTGTGTTTTCATGAGACATTTCAAATCCCTTTAAAATAATCTCCAATCTAGCTTCCACCAAAACTGAAGTCAAACAGAAGATTTCCAGTTGGGTGGTCCACCAGTCTTCATGTTTCTGGTGCTGGTGCGAGCTAACACAACACAGCCCTGGCAGCAGTTCCCACAGCTAGGCTACATCTTACATGAACAAACCAGTGCACATGGTTCTGCTGGAAAAGAAGGAAACATCTTTGGCAAAGCAAACATTTTCTGTCTATTAAAAGCAGCAGTTTAAGTAGAACAAGATGTGGCAGCAGAGCCAGACCAAGGCTTTTCAGCACGCAGGCTACAGTGAATTTTGCCACCCCCAGAATGAAGATTTATTTTGTTCTCCTCCTTGCAGCTGCAAAATAAAACTTCATAGCAGCAGCAAAGTCCAAAGCAGACAGAGTAAGGGATAGGAAGGGTGTCTTGGGGCCATTCATGGCTGGGGAAACAGGCTTGGGAAGGATCAGGAGGATGCTGGGGACGGAAAAGAAGGATAGAAGTCGTAAGGATGTGAGAAGCGAGGAGGCGGATTTCAGGGCAGTGAGATTTTCAGCAAGGTTCAACTCTCCTTTTCCTACTCACCTTCCAACCACCCTGCTAGCTTCATGCCTCTCCAAAGCCACCACCTTCCTTTGGGACACCTCCCCAGTCCATACCCCAGGATATCCAGGTACCTTTTCATCTCCATCTCCTGCCTCACTCCAGGCCTTGCTTTCCTCCAAGTACCTCCCCACAACCTGGGAAGCAGAAACCTGGTGCCAGACCTGGTGCTACTGTATTGCCTGTCCTTTTGCTTTCTTTTAATTTTCTTTCGTTAAAGACAAAGCTAATATAAAATGAGTCGTTCTAAAACCCAGACCCTATTAATCTCCCCTCAGCACCACATTCTCCTAAACAACTGCATCTGTTGAGGACACGAGTTAGGACAGATGACTAATGTTTTGCAACGATGTACCCCCTGGAATGGCTTGGGAAAGCAGCCGGGGTTGCAGTGGCAAGTGACGTGAATGAGCCACACGAGGCTCGTACAGCTGCCCCGCAGCCCTCGCCTTCTCCACACAGATGGTAATCTCAGAAGGCCCAGCACTAACGATCTCAGAGCAGTCCTGAGACTATGAAAATAGTCCATTACAAGTCTAATTATGCAGATTAAAAATAAAAATTACAATTAAAGACTCTGAACCAATTCTTATCTAATTTGCATCAACGGGAAATCAGTTTTGAAGGAGAGCGGAACTCAGCAGGCTGGGAAGGAGGCTCCTCGGCCGTGCCCCTGCAGCGGGGCCAGGGCTGCACTCTGTGGGCATCCCTCCTCTCCTCACTCTGTACCGGAAGGACCCCTGCGGTCTCTGTGTGTGCTAAGCCCGCCGCTTCCCTGGGCTTATTTCCTCCTCAGGAGGGTAGAAATGCTTTTTAACCTTCCTGGGAGGTGCACAGTCGATGGAAGTGCCCCTTCCCTGACTTCTGTCAAATGGGCCCTGCTATCCTAGCCATGAATCACAGCACCCTGCATTTATGGGAGAGCCCTTGAACTTTGAACGAGCACCCACGGGAGGCATAAACAGCCACACTGGGTTATCAATATCCTGATCAGTCCCACCGGCATCGTTCTGCAATGTGACTCTGTCCTCCTCAGGCTGTTTGTAACGTACTAGTGCGATACAATCTGGAAATGAAGGGTCCTGTCTAATACCAGCACCAAATAAATAACTTCTGATGGGGGAGCTGATCACCATGCAAGATACAACAATAAATATATTTAATCCTTCTTCAAGGACAAGGAGGGAAACATTCAGAAAGCATATGAGGCAGCTCCGTGGTATGCTACCATCTAGCTCTTGTTGGCTTACTACATGGTCTGAGCATCACCTTGTCCATAGCCCTGTTGTCAGCTCTTGTCCCACCCTATGTCACCCAACAGGCTCACTGGAAGGTCTTCCAGATATTTAGACCCATGTCTTGAAATCAGTTAGAGGGAGTCTCAAAAGGATACTCAGCAGAACAGTGTTTAGTAGTTTCTCGAGATATTTTCTAAGCATCTTGAAGCACTTTTACCCCATTTAAACTGAGAAGAGCACTAATAATTTCAAAGACGTCTTCCTGACTTCTAGTATAGCTTTCCTTCCACTGCTTTTTTGTCCAAATTCAGCATCACCTTGCCTGAAATAAAGACTGCATTTCAGGCAAATGAGAGGAAGAGAGAGAATTCACTGCACATTGACATTAAAGCTCCCTTTTCAGCTAAGAAAAATTTGCTTTCAAGATTTTAGGTCATAGCTGATGTGTTTGATAAGCTTTAGGACTCATCTGTTTAAAAGGCTACATGTTACAAAACTCTGGAGATAAGTATATTCATGAATTGTGGGAAAACACTGCTGGGTAATCAAACACCTCATGTATTCCTGCATTAACTCTCGAGCTGGCTTTCTCAGGGCTGTAAATTTCTGCCCACAGCGAAGCTGGGCTGCCCAGCCTGCAGCTAATCACCTGCTGCAATTACCCTCGGCTGAGCCAGTGCGGGCAGGTTGGGTGAGAGACATACCTGAGTGACCCTGCCTCATTAGGAAGGCAAAGCTTTCAACAGGCAATTTAGCAAATAAATATACCTCACTCTGCTTGAATACATTAACCTTTCCATAATTGTAATCTTTAGCGCTAGCAGCCTTTTATCCAGCTACCCAGCATCCTCCCTTCCCTTTTCAGACCCCACGCTGTACCAATTTATGGGTCTCCATGCTTTTCTGTGCATCTTAACCCTTATCCAATTTAAGATCTCCTCTTTTCATAGTCCATTGCTCTGCGGGTCCCTACACTTACTTGTCTGTTGGAAGAGACAGGGAGGGAGAAAGAGGGCAGATTTTCCTGACTTGAGCCATTTGATTATAGGACGCATAATTAAAAAAAAAAAATCTAACAAGAGGTTCTTGCCAAAGGACAGGATCCTGAGGCTCTTTGTGCATATAATGACAAGAAGCTTTCTGTGAATGTTTTCATTTTCATAGCACCTAGCAAACATTAATCCTTGCAGTAGCACCAAATGGTAAATATGATTATCCCCCTGTTATAGTGAGCAGACTATGTGGCTTACCTCAAGCCAAGAGGATTCCACTTTACATTACAGTTCAAAACTTCCCTGGTCTCCAACCTTTTGGTCAGATCATGATTCTGTCTTGAAATGGTAATAAATTCAACAATATTTGATGGCCTGGAAAGACATGTGAATTCCCTCTCCCAAAACTGCTTCCAAATCAATCTCATTTTATCTCATAAATGAATGAAAGGAAATATACTACAAAAGCAGATGGATGGAGCTTCTTTTCCATGCTCTGAATAAGGGATCCAAATTTCTTAACTGCACTTAACACCCCTCAAGTTAAGGCAGCACCCACACTGTGGGATGTAACATGAGCCCAGGTTGCTCAGAGATGTTGTGTGGTCTCCATCCTTGGAGGTTTTGAAGGGCCAACCAGACAAAGCACCTGGTCTGATCTCAGAGCTGACCCTGCCTTGAGCAGGACATTGGACTGGAGACCTCCAAGGTACTCCCCTGCCCAAGTTACCCTGTGATCCCACAAACCCAGAATTCTGCTTTGAGGTGATGCCTATTATTTCTGTCACAGGTACACAAACTTCTCTATAAGTTTGACTGCAACAGTGATAAATAACTATATTTTCTAGACACATGAAAACATGGGACAGCAAGCAGTGCCTGCATCTGCCACTTACCTTTTGGTTATTATTGACTTATCTTACAGATGGCAAAATGACATAAGCACCTAAGAATGCAGCACACAGGGGTGAGCATGGTTGTTAGGTGAAGTTAAAGAGCTGCACAAGGGTGGGTGGGGTGTCTGTTCTCCTTCCTTCCTTCCTTCTCATGTTGTTATCAGCCACAGCAGCAACCAACAGATTCCTTGAAAGACATATGTGGTGTTATTTCTTTCTCTTAGATAAC